AAAACAAAATAAGACTAATTTTTTCAGACTACATGATATTTCTTGGTTTTTCTTTTATGCTTGTGTAATATTTTTCAGTAACGTGAAGTTCATTGTTTATCACTTCTTGGAGTCTCTTTTCTCTGAAGATTAGTTTTACTTAGGATATCCTACAAGTCAGATCTGAACCCTGGGGGTTTGAATTAATACATTAAAAATGTCCTCTTTTGGGCCAGCCCGGTGGCGCACTGGAGAGTGCGCCGCTTGGGAGCACGGCGGTGCTCCCGCGGAGGGTTCGGATCCCATGTGGAGACCGGTTCCCACTCACTGGCTGAGCGCGGTGCGGGCACAACACCGGGGGTTGTGATCCCATTGCCGGTCCCCGGTATGGGCGCGACACCGAGGATTGTGATCCCGATACTGGTCAGTAAAAAAAAAAGACAAAAAAAGGAAAAAAAAAATTCCTCTTTAAATATAATGGCACTTTGTACCTTGGAGTGTTTGTCAGTCTGATGGCTTGATATGGGGTTGTGATCCCATTGCCGGTCCCCGGTATGGGCGCAACACCGAGGATTGTGATCCCGATACTGGTCAGTAAAAAAAAAGACAAAAAAAGGAAAAAAAAAAAAGTCCTCTTTAAATATAATGGCACTTTGTACCTTGGAGTGTTTGTCAGTCTGATGGCTTGATATAAAAGTTTCTTATTTCATCTAACCAAGATTGATGACAAGGTTCTCAGAACCTTATAGGCAAAAGAAGATATAGCTAGTCTTCAGTGTGACTGTTTATGTTTGAGAGGAGAAGTTTCAGTTATTAGCATTGTCCCAACTTCTCCCTCCACAAGAGTCAAATGGTACTAGAAGATAACATGTGTAAAGAAAGGTTTCAACTGATTATCACTAGAGTATTACATGTATTGGCATTTCACTGCATTCAGTTAATTTTGAGTTATGGGTTCAAAACAGTTCTAATTTACTCAAAATTACAAAGTCATTTTAACTAGATTCCTTAGGACATAAGGGAAATTTTATTATAATTACTATATTCAACTTTAATAAAGTTATTCCAAACTTTTCTCTTTCATGTACTGTAATGTTTTGTTGTACAATATTGAAAAGAAAAAAGCTTGAGAGTCTAGTAAAATTATCATTATTGACATCAAATATTACTTGAGAGTATAATACATTTATTAATGGCTTTATGGTCTTTAAAATATTGTATATGCTTTGACATTATCTATTTTTACTTTCGGGTTAATGAAAGTAAATACAAGTACTCAATACATTAGTTGAATCTAGACATGGTTCTAGAATCACATCACTCTTTTCTAACATGCATATGTAACTAGTGCAGAATGCAAAATTGTATTGTAGGAACAGCATCCCATAACCTAGCCCAAACAGAAAACTACATCGAATAAAGTTTTTGATATTTATATAATTTGGTAATTAGTATGTAATAAAAGAGAAAACAGATCATCTGATTATTTGAACTTAGTCAACTCATCACTAAAAATGCTATAGTTTTCCTTTATTTATTAGATATATTTCATTATAAAGGTAATAACTATGTTGCTATGTAAAAGAAAAACAAATATAAGGAAAAAGTTGATAATTTTTGCACCCCTATAATTTAGGAATGATAATTTTTCACTACAATCTAATTAATTCCTACTATATTCCTCCCTAATACTTAACAGTTGATGTGCTCAGCTTTTCGACCTTACTATCTAAGCCATGAGATTTTTAAATGTGATTTTAGAAAAAATACATGCTACTCTTTCACAAGAATTTAAAGTTATGAAGAACTTTAGAAATATCTAGGGCAAACTTGTTAAAATGAGGAATTGAAACTTTCTAACAATAAAGTCTTTACAACATCTCAAAGCAGATAAACCTGGATTCAAGTCAGAAATTCATCACTTGGATGGAGTTCTTAAAATTTTTGAGTCACAGTGGTATTGACTATAAAATATCATCATAATAATTTTATGTCCCTTGGGAGAGGAGATGTTGGAAATATTTAATGAAATATAGTTCATGTAAAGTCATTAGCCTTATGATGACTGGTGCACATTAGGCATTGAATGCATGGTTGTTCCCCTCCTTCTAAACTCTAATATCCAAGAATTTACTCTAATTTCTTAATTTCTCTATGTCTTTGCCCACATTTTATAATGGAAGCTCAACTCTGAAAGCCTTTTAAATAAAAAAGAAATTAACACCTTTTTAGAATGCTCTTCTTATCCCTATGAACTATATCTAAGTAAACATTGTCCATAACCGTCATCTTGATTCTCTTCCAACTTGGCTTGCAAGGAACAAGTAACTAATTTTTAGAGATGTATGGAATTTTCATACATAATCTTGATATGTTACTAAGGAGGTTCTATTATGAGATATTCTTTGCATATAATATGTTCATCCAATAAGCATTTTTCAGACTGATTAGTACACAAGATACTGTAGATATACTTACATTGGATCAATGTAGAGAGAGAGGAGGGGGGAAAAGCAGTCAAAAGTTAAGTATATGATTGGGAAATCCCAGTATAATTCCCAAGGAATTTTGATGTCAGAAGCTTATTGACATGGTATGAGGCCTGGTCAAGCAAGTCTTTTTCCTCAGATTGGTTAAAGTTGACCTTATTCTTCCAAAAGTCATTGAAATTGATCTGGGAAGATTAACATTCCAAAGTGGAAACTGCTGGAGCAAAATCAGAGATTGGAATGGATAGAATCCTCAAAGAGAGCAGGGGTAGAGGAAAAATTGGAAGTCATATCCTATTAAAATGCTGTCCTAGTAAGAAAAAGGTAAATTTGGATATGTTTTGGTGGACAGTAGATGTGAAGGACTTGAATACTGGGCCGAAATAGTTAGATTCACTCTAAAGACTAACAGGGAATAAAATGCAGGTTATTGTGCATGAGATGACCTAGTTAAATAAGATTTTAAAACAGTGATTGCTTGTATCCAAGTATGGAATTGAGTAGAGGTGAAGAGAAATTAACGGTGAGGGAGGGGGTACTGTTGCAAAAAAAAAGAGAGAGAGAGTGAGAGAGAGAGAGAGAGATGACCAACATACATAAGGACAGACATTCAGAACAGTTTTCAGTATAAAATTTAAATTCCATACTATAGTCTAGATTCTACTCATTGACCTCTCCAAATACCTCAAATTCTCAGTGACTTCTCTTCCCTGTGTGTTTTCACATGCTGTCTCAGCATGGAACACTTTTTCAACATTTCTCTCTTGTATAAATCCTACTTGAGTACTTCAAGACTCCATTTAAATCTCATCTCAACTGGACAGCCCTCTCTGTCTGTCCTATCACTGTGTCCCAGGGTGGATCTCCTCTTCCACATTTTCTTCCAGCGTGCTGTGCACCCCATTATAATAAGAACAGCAATTGTAGTCAGACACTGTTAAGAGCTTTGTGTGTATTGTAGCACATTTCATTTAGTAATAACACTGTAAGAATTATACTTTTTATTAGCACTGTTTTACAGATAAGAAAACTGAAGAACCAGAGTGTGAGTAGCTTGCCCAAGATCATACAGCTGGAAAGTTGAAGAACTGGGATTCCAACCCAAGCAGCCTGGCTGCAGAATCTAAGCTCTTCACCACCTGTACTGCCTCAACCACACTGCAATAATCCATAAAATGTAAAGCCACCTGTCTCTGCCACGAGACAGTGAACCCTTTGAGGACAGAGACAGTGTTTTCCTTTTTCTCCTCTATTCCCACCCCCTAGCACCATGTGAGCCACACAACAAGCATTCAGTACCTATTTGGCGCCTGGCATCATGAGCCAGATTATAATTCAATCTACGGAATAAAAGAAGTTAATTACAGTTCCTTTAAAATGACTTAGTTTCTGCTCATGTGTTGATCTCTTCATTTTAACTAGTTAAAGAAACAA